TCTCCTGCAAGGAAGCTGCCTGGATAGCCTTCTGGATCGCCTTTTCAATGGCCTTATGGCGCTTTAGCTCTTCCCTGGTCAGAGCCGAGGATTGGGAAGGTTTAGACCCCTTTGTGGTGTGACGGGTCTTTCTGCTTCTCTTAGCAGGAACAGGGTCAGAGGATCCAGGGTCTTCCTGCTGCAAAGGTTGTTTGGCCGATCTGGAAGGCCGTTGGGAAGCCATGAGAATTCCTCAGATCCCCTGAGGGAAGGATCAGAACTCAGGGGGAAAGCTGAAAGAAAGGGCAAGGCAGACAGTTAAGGAGGCCTTTCGCCCTTACTAGGCCTCTAGTAGCCACGAGGCCTTCCAAAAATGGCCGCCGGTACAGTTAAAATGGCCGCCGGACCTTCCCAAAATGGCCGCCGGAACCCTTAAAATGGCCGCCGGACCTTCCCAAAATGGCCGCCGGAACACTAAAAATGGCCGCCGGACCTTCCCAAAATGGCCGCCGGAACACCTAAAATGGCCGCCGGACCTTCCCAAAATGGCCGCCGTACACTTAAAATGGCCGCCGGGACACTTAAAATGGCCGCCGGAACATTACGAATGGTAGAGGGAGGTAATAATGGCCGCCCGGACTCCGAAACCAAATCCCCTCATACTTACATCTGGAATCCGGCGATTGGGAGTTGATCAGCAGAGCTGATCCACCCGAGGGGCTGGGGCTGCTGAAACGAGGCTCTCTGCTACTGTGCTGAGCCCAGGAGCCGATCAGAAAGGATGCGGCTAATAGGGGCCTCAGGCCTCGTGTTCTGCCCCAAATGCGGCTCCGCTGAAATAGCGCCGCGATTAGCTGGCTATCGGATCCCCGATAGCCTCTTCGATGCCTCTGCCTGTCCAGGCAAGAGGCTAGCCCCTTGTATGCAGCAGTAGAGGGAAGGAGCCCTCCACGCTAGGGTGAGGACCAGGCTCAACCAGCCGGGAACCTACAGCCCTCACCAGCCAAAATTGGCCTCCAGCGGTCTCGGGTACGAACCCCTTCGCGCTGGGAGCTCTACCAAGATTTTTATGGGAGCTGGAGAAGAAATCCTGTGGCAAAAGGAAAACTTTTGCAAGAGCTAAGCTCAAACGTGCCTATCTAACTGGATTGAGTCAGAAAGCTGGGAAGCAAGACAAAGGGGAGGAGCTTCTCAGCTTTGCAGACTCAATCAGTAATTGGAGCGTGTCACTACCCAATCCTGACCACTGGAGCCAGGATCAACGAGAACAGATCAAACTATTTGCAATAGGTTCTCAACATTTCTCAGCCTTCTTATATTTTGCATTCTGTAATTATTTACCTTCCATGTCTTGTCTTCCAGTTGGTCAATCAGTCAGTCAGTGTTAATTCAATAAAGTGCCCAGAAAATATTCTTGAGTTTGTACTCTTTCTCTGGGTCCAGAGTATTGAACAGTTTCCCATCCAAAATGGAAGGTATTGATTCTTACTGATCTTTTTGTTATGCCCACTCTCAAATAATTCCATCTTTTGTACCTACTGTATATTCTGAAGCCCATAAATAACCTTGAATCTGATTTTTTTAAAAGTGGAAACACAGCCGGTTTATGGATTTCAAGTGATCCTAGCTGCATCTGGTAAACCTCCAATGTATCATCCTGATTAGTACTACAGCTGCCTCAGATGGTACCTAATTTAAAATCCCAGGGCCAGAATCCTCTGATTCTTTATTTGTACTATTTCATATGTTGATTTGAATAAAGAAAGAATGAATAAATCAATGAATATTTGCCTAGGACTAGGAGGGTGGTATCAATTCCCTTGGTACAACCAAGCTTTATTGGAAAAATATTATCTCTCCATTAAGTATCTAGCAATATTGAAGTCAGCATATAGGGAAAAAATCTGTTATGTATTTCCTGGCTTATGTGCAACCAAACATATCTGGGATTGATTAAAATGTACTGTAGATTAAGTTGTGATGCCCAGTCTCATGAATATTTATCTTTGTGGAAAAGTCTGTTAAAAAATAGGTGGGAAGATGTGCTGTGAAGGCTTGGACAAAATCTGGATTATCCATTACTGTGTAATTATTATTTTAAAATAAATAAATAGATAAATAGAATAGATTTTTTTTTGCCTGATACACATCAATGGCAATATAATCAATCTAACCATGTTTTCATTTCTGAATATGTATCGAACAGGATAGTTGCCTCAAACTTCCTGAGATGCTGTCTTTTCTTTTTTGACTGTTGTTGAAATTAAAACATCCTAAAAATTGAATTAAAAATACCTTTAACCATCAACGCATGATTTGTGTATAAAGAGTTGAAATATCAGATAAGTGTTAAATTTGATTATTTGTAATTGTGGCTGAAATTAATCAATCAAAATATTTTATTCTGAAACTACTGGATCCCTCAGAAAGGGTGGATTGTAGATGTTCTTTGTTGGCAATGTAAAAAAAATGAGTGTACATTAAAATATATGGTCATATCTGCTTTTGATTTCTTTTTGGAAGAATGTTGTAATACACACAAATAAATGTTTGGATAAATGCTTTCGTGTTAAAGATAACCATATTGATTTGAGTTATATTTCAAAACTGTGGAATCAGAACAATTTTGAAGAATTTTGGTTATATCCATTGTAGAGAACAACCTAGAGAATTAAATTGAGAGATTTGAAAAGTATTGCTAACCCAGATAGCAAAGGGTTTTATTTATTTATTTATTGGTTTGATTTATATGCCGCCCTTCTCCGGAGACTCAGGGCAGCTTACAATGCGTTAAGCAATAGCCTTCATACTTTTGTATATACCTGCTTAGTAGGGCTTTTGCCCCCCCCCCCCCCCCCCAACAAGCAGTGTTCTTTTTTATACAAAGTCAGTTTATTGCCCCCACAATCCAGGTCCTCATTTTACCTACCTTGAAAGGATGGAAGGCTGAGTCAACTTTGAGCCTGGTGAGATTCGAACTTGCAGTAATTGCAGGCAGCTGGCAGCTAAGTGCTATTTAACAGCGCTGTAGTCTACTGCTCCACCAGGGTTAAGAAATGGATTTAAGAAATGTGCTATTTACCTATTTTTTCAACGATTTTTGCAAGACAAATTTTATAACTTATAAGACAATAATGTATAACTTGATACATTATTATAGTTAAATGTGTGATATATTTTAATGATATTCATATACTTTTAATTTTTTTCTGTTTAATTTAAATTTTGTTCGGTTTTTGTTCATTTTGGTGTTAATTTTCTAATTAATTTGTTGGATATTATTATTTTTTCATCTGTTTATGTATAATGTTCTTCCTGTATTTCTTTTTTTAAAGATTATAATGAAAATTATTTTTATAAAGTGCATGAACCTCCAGCATAAATTGATCAATAGATATAAAGCCATTTGAGGAAGAAAAAGTGGATATGATGGTGAATGACCATAGTCACCATATTGTCTAACATTTTTTTTTAAAAAAATTCCAATTGTCAGAAAAAAGTAATGAATTAAAGATTGCTTCTTGGTGCTATTGTGACAAGAAAAAAGAGTTAAAACTGGTTGTGTATTACCTCAGATTCTTGATTGCTCCAACAAAAACAGTGGGGAGGATTTATAACTAGATTCCTGGTGGATATATAGGTACATCCAAGTGATTTAAAGGCACATCCAAGGGTATTATCAAGTTTCCCTCATGGAGATTCTACTCCCTTGTAGTATTGTATTGTAGTATTGTAGTATCAGCAATGTAGGGTCAGCTAGAAAGTATCATTCCATGCATTCTAAAGTAATATATTATGGAGAAATGTTGTCATTTTTCCATAAGGGTTTTAAAGTTTTTACTCTGTGCATTCTGGTGTTAGGTACTTGAAAGAACCTTTCTTCAAACTTGTCATTTCTCTCCTTCGTGACCTAAAATCAACACGCAGCATGTTCCGGGAACAGATGCCTTGAGGTTTGTTTGTCAATATTTTACCAAGTCTCTATGGTATGAAGAACATTTTTGCATATTTGCAGTAATAGTAATAATCCCAAATAGATCCCTGCCCTATTTACCATTATGGAATTTATTCATTCATTCATTCATTCATTCACATTTCAAAGAGACTCTGGACAATATACAATTAAACATCAAAATTTAAAAAACAGAATAACTCTAACATTAAAATGTTAGAGCTAAAATTTTAGAATTAAATTTTTAACAAAATTAAAAAGTGTTTAAAGAGGGAGAATAATTAAGTCCTGTTTACCTGCTTATACCTATCATCCAAGAATTTAAATGTCCCAGGTAAAGGAGACTCTAGGAAGTTAAGGACTTCCTAGGAATGTGCAGAAGAACTGAACGTGTTTGAGTTAGGGGGGGAAATCCAATTCATCTTTTGTTCTAGGCTATAATATAACTAACTGGAGAGATGTCAGAATAGCCCACCGCTTCAGATCTGTGAAGCAATAAATCTTCAAAAACCACATTTATAAAGAATGCATCTGACAGGATCAGCAACATTTCACTAATTTCTCAGGATGATTAGAAGGCCTGCAGGCCTATACCTTTTATCATCAGCAACAGTGTGAAGCTGTAACATAAGCCCTATTATTAAGTTGTCAAAAACAGAAATGATGAAAGAAAAGAGACTGGAGGTAAATCAACATTTTGAGTGTAATTAATATGTATTCTGATAAGCTGACAATTAAGCAGTGATTCTCACATGTCACTAAAGTAAAAACACTCAACATAAAAACATTTAATTAGATAGCAAAGTCAGGGTAACCATAGGCCTTAAAATTAAGCAGTTAATCTTCAAATGATTGCATATCTAATTTATATACATTATACTTACTGAGAGTAAGTTCTACTGAACATTCTGGAGCTATATAGCTCTATATAGGCAAGAATAATAAATTTTTGTTGCAAACCACAGGTTGCAGATTAACCAACGAAAAAATTCATGACTTGAACCACTCTTTGAGCATATGTACAATTCCACACAGAATTACAATCAAACTAAACACAGTGAACTTAATGGTGTATTTGTTATGGTTTATTTATTTATAGGCAGATCACTTCACTATTTACAGTACATGAATGTAGAGATTCTACAGTCTTTGTGATGTAAACAATTAACTCCGCAATGGGGGAGTCTCAAAAAGAAGCCAGTTCTGAAGTATTTACATAATTTAAAATAGAACTTTTATATACTCACTAGATAGATATAGAGAATACATTGAGCAATTTGGTTAAATCATCTACGAAACTATAGAATCTGACAATGTAAAAATACAAGAAAACATTCTCTTATTTAGAAGGTTGACGTTGAAATCACACTAGAAAGAAATATTTATTTAAAAAATGACAATAACAAAAGAAAGGCATAAAATGTATGCCAATTAAGGTTAAAGTATATTACATAAATAAGGACAAAACAGAATACGACTGGGGTGAAAATAAGTGAAATATTAAAATCTTCTACTACTCTTTTAAAACACCAAACTAAAAACTTGATTGTATAAATTACAAAGGGGTCAATTCTGCTGCCTTTACTTATCCAGAAGTAAGTTACCACTTAGTTAATACCTGTAAAAACATGGCAGAATTGGGCCCTTCTAATTATTAGCAGTGTTCTCAAGAAAAAAAAAGAAAAGAAAAAAAACCAACCCTCAGTAAAATCTTTATTTTATAATTTTTATTATAAATAACATATAGCAAATGTGCCCCTCTTTTAGGTGAAATTCTTACACCTTTCTCTAAAAAATGCATCAATTTAGCCTCCTTCACACGCTCTGCCTCACATCCACACATAAACACACATGGCAAAGAGGGGCATGAATTCCATCTGTGTGTGAAATAATGCTTCCTAAAGCACCAACTCCTGTACTAAAATCAGTCTTTCCAGTGGTTTGTCTCACAATCGATATCATACACATGAGGAAATGGAAAAAAGAAAAAAAGCCTATTATAAGAAATCTGCTTTTCAGTGGTGCTATGACCCTCCTCAAAATGCAGCACCTTTCTGAACTGGTCCGGTTGCATTTCGATGCACGCAGAGTTCTGTGCAGATGGAGAGGTCTAGTCTTTTCCAAAGCTGCCAAATGATTTGAGAAGCCTGCAGCAATGGCAACACAACCGAAAAATGGGTCAGCTCCTACTTCTGTACAGCTTTCTGCACAGAATGGTTCATAGGCTGACTTGATGCATGATTCTCATAGACAAATGAACCTAGGATTGATGCAGATAATACGGGCGTGCTTTCAGGATTACCTGGGCTAAATCTTAAGAGTGACAAGATGATGCCTTTAATAATAGAGATTTGCATAAGTGAGATTCAAATATTACACCCGGGACATTTAAAACCTGGCCTAATATTCACTGAGATTCTTCCCAAAACTAACTTTATTGGTTTCTGTATACAGGTAGTCCTCGATTTACGACCATAACTGAGCCCAAAATTTAGGTTGCTAAGTGAGACATTTAAGTGAGTTTTGGCCCAATTTTACAACCTTTCTTGCCACAGTTGTTAAATGAATCACTGCAGTTGTTCACTTAACAACTAACACAGTTGTTAAGTGAATCTGGCTTCTCTGCTGACTTTGCTTGTCAGAAGGTTGATGATTACATGATCCCAGGACACTGCAACCATCATAAATAAGAGTCAGTTGCCAAGCATCTGAATTTTATTCACGTGACCATGAGGATGCTGCAATGGTCATAAGGGTGAAAAATGGTCATAAGTCGCTTTTTCCAGTACCATTGTAACTTCAAACGGTCACTAAACAAACTATTAAGGACTACCTGTATAAAGATAATAGGGAAATTCAATTCATCATGTGAACTCCCACACAGGCTTTGACATCTAAGCCATTTTGCTCAACATATGCCCTAAAACATCTTTTTTTAATATATTACATTCTTATAGCATTTGTCTTAGAATAAATTAGTAATACCCTTTTGCAGCTGCTCACTGTTAGGCCATGTTCTTCGGCTAATCAGAAATACAATGCAGAATGCATAATAAGCCACTAGTTGTTTTTGATAAAGAGGGTGAAACACCTTCTTCAGAACAAAGAGGTACCTGAAATCATACACAAAAATATGGAAGGGGCGTTCCCAAATGCTTCACGGGTATCAGTGATATACTGTAGGGATTTATTAAAAAAAAAAAAGTCAAATTGCACAAATGACAAAGAAATAGCTCTTTGCAAAAAATTCAGAAAACATGGAAATGAAAATGGGGCTTGGTATGCTTACATTGGTAAAGAATATCACACATGGACTATCTTGTAAAAATAAACCGAGGAAATGCTAAACTGCTTCCTATTTTCATGTAGTAAATTAATGCCATATTAAACACAGCCATACACACACTCATACCGACTCCTGTATGGCTTTTTGAATGGGCTACTGAGAAAACTGAATGTTCACCACAAAAACAAAGACAAAGCCGATACCAGTTTTATGGAGGTAGAATAGGTCAGAGGGAAAACAAGACAACTGTTCCGAATAACTGGCAGTGAAAATAAGATACAGAATCCAGTTCTTCTTGTGCAGTCTCTTTGCAACACTGCTGTCTTACTTCTGCCAAAGTTTTCAGTTGACTTATCAATATTGACTTGTGTCTCACATTAAGCGATCGTTATTAAAAGATCAAGAGAAAATAAATGGCTTGTGACTTATTCCTATCCTTAAGGTATTTCTCCTGATTTTCCCCAAAAAATAAAAAAAATATATAAAAGAAAATTAGGAGGGATTTTTCTCTTTCTCTCTCTCATACACACAGACACACACACCTACAAACATATATAGTTTTGTTTAAAAAAATAAATGTCTCCCTCATGATTGCCTTTCTTAATACACCCTTTTGTTCCGAAAAACCCTGGACAATTGATTCTTCTTTATTTGGTTTCTCATGTGTTCTCACAAGATCTTGATTTGTTCTGTTGCTCATTGTTATGGCTAGGCCTGCCCCATGAACATGGGGGTGTTGGCATTATGCATATAATTAAAACAAGGACAGAAGAAAGTTAGGCAAACTTTGCAGAAAGGACCCCAGCAGCAAACTCTTTATAAAAGGGGCAAAGAACATGATGCCTTCAGAAATGAATCCCCTAAGCTGAGAGGCAGCATACAGTCATTTTTAGCCTTGGAGAATCAAAATGTGCTGGATATAACTGCCCTTAGGAGGCGTCTGCCAGAACACATTAGCAGCAAAGATGGCTGGAGCAAGATATAAAGCTCATCTTAATTCCTTATCCTAAGGAAAACAAATAGTTCTCTTACTGCATGAAAAAAAGGCTCATGTTGTACTGTAGATTTGTTGACCCACCAATTAACCAGAAATTATCAGCTGCCTATCCAGGCCTATAGGATCTCTCACACTCCTAGGCAAGGAGCAAAATCAGGAGACAGGATGACAGTCTGAGTTTGGTTTAGTGGACCACAAGTCTATTATTCAGGTACTCTGATATTCAGAGACAGGAATATACAGCTGGGTATTTTATACATTTGATCTTATCAATTCCTTTGTCATATGGAACTTGGCCATTCTTCAATAGCCTTTCATAATTACTCTTTACAATATTTATGGAGCACTGTAGCTGAGTGCTCTACATACCAAAAGTTTAATGCATTGTACTTATTTATTCATACAAACTTCGGTATAACTCTCTGCTTTAAAAACTTTGGGACGGCATTTGTTCTTCCTGTACTCTGATCCAGGAATTTGCCTAAATTTTTTCTGTCAACACACTACATCTTCCCAAGTCACCGTAAGAATAAATATGAACGAAGGATTTTCACACATTGCTCCCTGTGTGGGTGATGCAAACTAGCTGTGCTTCCAATAGCAATTAGCATAAGCTGCGGGTATTGATATGCTGTAACCAGGACAAATGTGCGTGCTTTGCAAACCATCCCACTCAGGTTCTACATTCAACACTGCTGAACTTGCAGATGCTGAAGGGCTCAATGCCCCATTGTCTTCCTCTCATTCATGTGTGCGTTTGTGCACATAGGTGCATATTGCATAAAGTCCTAGTGAAGTTTCTCGCACAAAAAATATATTTTTATAGGCTTCAGGCAAAACAAAGATCACTTATTGCACCTCTCCCTACAGCTAGGATCGAGAGGCTATGTGCATTACAGGATCTTCTTTCCTTTCAAAGAGCATGTCTTGCATGCCCTAATATCACTGGCAACTCCAGCTTCTGAAAATTAACTTGAGATATAAAAGCAGATAAGCCACGTTTGCAAGCAAGTTTGGGCTAGAAGCAGCACCTTCCAAATAGCAGAAGGACTGTTTTAACTCTTTCTTTCCAGCTGCATTCAACACTTTCAACACGCTTAAAATTTGATGCATTTTCCATCTCTCTGACCAAACTTAGTTCTGAACTTTTTGATATCTTTTGTAACCAAGCCAGGAGATGGAAGAATTCCACTTACTAGTTGCTGGGGTGGTTATTATTATTTGTTGTTGTTGTTTGATTGTTCTCTGAAAACATCAGTACAGCACAGGACAGGACAGTCCTACCCACCCTAAATGTGTCACTATGTACATTCTACAGTAAGCTCTATAGCAATCACATGTAAACATCATTGTGGTAAGGAAATACTAGGACAGAAAAGGCAAAGCTACAATGAGGCACTTGTCAATAGCAGATACTTCGTCTTGGCCAGACTTTGTTCTGGACTGATCACAAGAAGATCTAATGGCCTTGTAATCCTTTAATAAGTTCCTAAACAGAGATGTTAAAAGTGACGTTGTTCGCCAAAACATTGTGACAGTGAATTCTGCAAGTAGCATGGAAATTATATTAGCTGCCATATGAAATCAGGATTGTTATTATGAAAGCTCCAGATCATCATCTGCATCCCAGAAATAAATATTCAGGATGGGATAAGAAATTCCTTGATCTTGTGGTGCTTTTGATATGTACAGTCCTTATCAAGAGAATGGGGGACTATTCAGACAAACAGACTTTGGGACAGCATGAATTAGGCCAGAATCAGGATGTTTTTGTCCTTTGATTCCAAATCAAATACATGCTGATGCTAAAGAGACCTTAAGGGAAGAGAATCTAACTACGGACAGAATTAAGGCTGTTGTATTTTATCTACATGGGATGGTTGAACCCTATCAGTCTCATCTTTGTGAAGAACAGAATAAGGATATGGTGACTGATGGAGGACTTAGCAATGCTATTTGGTCCCCACTCGAAAGTGCTCTCTTGATGTTCCTATTGCTTATTTAGTGTCTCCCTAGCCTTTGCTGGATGTGAATTAGCACAACAGCACCCGCATTGCATCTGGCAAATGATGCATTTGGTATAGTGTACTGTATGAGCATGAGGTCTCCACATGTATTTACCCTAATCAGACGGGCCTCTTTCTCCAGAAACCATTTGTTTAAATCAGCCTAAATTACAGAAAGCTGATTCCCTTCTCCTGGGCATCTCTGGGTTTTGAATTTAGGACAAGCTGATCAATGAGTAGAGTTCTAAGCCATGGGCAAATCAAAAGAAATGAATATGCAGACAGACATATAGAATAATAATAAAAAAGAATACAGTTACTGTATGCTACTGGCTAGATATTATAAAATATGGCTTATTCAAATTTGCTCAGGCAGAGAGCAGTATTTAAAGTGGGGCAGAGCTACTCTGCTGATGCTGAGTGCTGGGTCAAGGTGCAAAGATGCTTTTGACCATTTTTCTGTTCGGTCTTGCAAAAAAACCCAGGTTATCCATCAGGCAAGAGATTTTGCTTTGGTTGAATGACCAGATGGCCAGAAATCTGTTCCTGTTCCTGAGGCTACTGGGGATATGACTTAAATAAATTGTTCTACATTTGTAACTTTATGGTGATGTCATGAAACAATGGCTATTCCGATGGTGGGGTCTAATGCTTAGGAGCCTTAACTTTTCTGGCTCAGTTTCCAATCTTCTTTGTCCCATGAGAGATTTCACATGTAGAATAAACTGGCTAATGGCTTCTAGTTATAATGGCTGTTATATACTTCTCAACTCAGCACCAGTGGACATTAGATTACCACTTGTAGTAGATTAACTGCTTTCTTGGGCGGCTTGTGAGTTTCTGAGAAGCATCTGGGGGCTCCATGGAAACAGGATGCTGGTCAGATAGGACTTTAGCAGGGCTTTTCTCATGTATCATTTACTTGGCTAGGAGTACAGGTTATCATTTCAGCATGAAGAAAGAGGGAAAAACGTACCCTGTCACCTTCTCATTTCTCACTTGATTTAATCTTTTGCCATCTGAGGAAAATACTTGGAGCCCGCTTAGGACTGCAGAATCACAGTTTGTCATGTCTCATGCAGTCAATGATTAAGGAGTGGAGATTCCAGCATTCAGTCCAGACAAATGGAAAAAATGGTTTATACAGTGATTCCACACTGCCATTCAATAACCCCCTGGCTAATCAAGGATGAGCAGATTTTTTATGATTTTCAGATGAGCCACTCACTGAAGGGAACCATTCTGGAAAGGCTGCATCTGCTGAGGGGCAAGTGCCTCATTACAGTGCATAGTTAAAAATCAAGGAAGCGGTACAATAAATCTGAATTACAGTACATCTGAGCCATAAATACATTATAAGTATATATTTCTTTCTTCTATTAAAAATTAGTTTACAATCTTGATTCTATTCACAATTAACAATTTCATAATCACACACTACGGACCAAAAATGAAATAAGAGTTATGGTGAACACAGCTGCCACTCCACGGCGGAAATGGGACCAGTCAGAGAAAGGAGATTGGACAAGAAGAGGACAGAAGGCTTTTGCAGGCTCATCCTAACACAACCAATCAGAAGCAGAGATACTAACTTGTGGCAGTGGAACATCAACACCATGGGAACTCACAGACAGAAGCAGCTTGTTCAATGTAAACATCAATTTAAAGGGTCAGCAGTCTCTCTCTCTCTCATTATATATTTAATCATTTCTTGAAAACGTAAACATATTGGAAGTGCCTTGACTGAGGTATTAAGGTATTCCTCATAGGTTAAGGCTGTTACCGATGCAGACTTTCCTGGGCCTCCTGCAGCAGGCTGTCAAAATCCATGGTCTCATATTTGCTTTTTACTGGAGTTGGAGAGGACTCTTCTGTATTGGAATCTGCTACAGAGAAAAGATAAATGCTATCAAAAAGAGGAAGGAAGGAAGGAAGGAAGGAAGGAAGGAAGGAAGGAAGGAAGGAAGGAAGGAAGGAAGGAAGGAAGGAAGATCAGCTAAGTCGTATATATTACATCTAATGTTTCCAAGCCACATGGAAAACCTCTAAATCTCCACTTCCTCCTAAAATGGAAGGATTTAATGATCATGAGTAGCCTGTTGAGATATCCCCTGTGCTCTTCTCTGAAGAGGCCGATCAGCAAATATGATTGGCCACAACCGATTTAGCTGAGGGAACCGAACTGTCTCTCAAGAGAAAGGGTTGGCCACAATCTGTCTGGAAGCGGTTAAGCACTGCCTGCATTGGATATTCATTCTCCCTAAGCAGATTGCTATTTTGGGTGATCGCATTATATTTGATTTCATAACTATGTGCTATTTTTTATGGTTACGGTTGATTAATTTAAATTTTCTTCAATTACAATAGTTGCTGTCTGCCCCTTTCAGGAGAGGAGGGCTTTAATTAAAATGAAAGAAAATAAATTAAAATCACTTGTGGTCTGTGAAAATGAGCAAATATAAAAATCCTTGGAATATTTAATCTGCTTTCTTTGGTTTTAATAAAGTATGGGCACAAACCCAGCTATTATTATTTGCAAACACTGACTCATGGCTTAATGTGTTGCATATATCTAATCAATTCTGGTTGATTCTGTATCTGTAGTTAAATAATCAGTGGATTAGTATGATTAGTATATGTGAGTGATTCAAGATAACCACTCTGATTCAGTCATCTCTGGCGGGGGGGGAAAAAACTCCTTCGCTCTCTCTGATTGTATAAAGGAAGCACAATGCTAATAAATAGAAATAAATGTATCAGATAGTAAATAAATATTAAATATAGATCATAAGATATGGAAATGAGAATTGTTGGGATTGTATAGATTTTATGCTTTGGATTTTTTAGTGTCCACCATCCTTAATATCCATACCAGGATCACCGTGTGTGACTTGGATGGTCATATAATTTTGTTTGATAATAAATAAAGAAAGGGATGCCTGCTGGGGAATTCTGGGAATTGAAGTCCACAAAGTGTAAAGTTGCCAAAGTTTTAGAAACCCTGCAGTATATGAATCAAAATCAGTACAACCACCCTTGCCAAATTAGATCTGTTATGATGAAACAGGCCAAGATGATTGCTGACTTACCCAAATCAGTAAATCTGGTCCAAAAGAAGTGTCCAAAACCACCATAAGCCAGCTGGAACAATGGCTCATTTATTTTCCACAGAGAAGCACCATTCTTCAAGGACAAGGCAGCATGCTCAGAACACCGGTATGTGATGACACCGTATTTATCTCCCCTGGATAATGAAAGAAGAAATGCCAGCACAGCCAACAGAGTAGCATTATTTATTTGTCATTATTTTTATTCCATGTCTCTCCAACAGGAACTCAGAGCATCTCGTTTAAATCTCATGCAAACTTTATAGGAATTAGGATCCAAGAGTCTATTAATCAAACTGCAGTGATTACATTGGCATCTCCCAGCTGCCTTGGAAGAGAACACTCCAACCAGGCTATTTATTATTTTTATTTCCACTTACACACCACTCAGGATAGTTAACAGCCATTAGACTACAAAACATTGACCTTCCCCTACACAATAATGTATGTATGAACAATATACAGGCAGTCCTTGAGTATGACCATAATTCAGCCCAAAATTTCTGTTGCTAAGCAAGACAGTTGTTAGTTTTGTCCCATTTTACGACTTTTCTTGCCACAGTTGTTGAGTAAACCACTGCAGTTGTTCAATTAGTAACACGGTTGTAAACGGAATCTGGATTCCTTATTCTTTGCTTGTAAGAAGGCCGCAAAAGGTGATCACGTGACCCCGGGACACTGCAACTGTCATAAATATGAATCAGTTGCTAAGCAGCCAAATTTTGATCTTGTGACCATGGGGATGCTGCAACGGTTGTGAGTGTGAAAAAAGGTCATAAGTCACTTTTTCAAGTGCCATTGTAAGTTCAAACAGTCACTAAATGAACTATTGTGAGTCAAGGGCTAACTATATGTGTACATACACACAGAAAGGATATCTTTTAACTAAAATGCTCTTTTTTCATTTGAAACAGATAGAGTTTTGAGCTCAAAACTTTCAAGCTTGGATCCAAATTCAATCTGCTTCTGTATATAGCACAATGAAATTACATACACATATGCTAAGTAGTAGCAATCCATTGTAAATTTAAAGTGCTGCATCTTCTATGCCAGTAGTGTCAAACTCGCGTCATCACAATGGTGTCATGTGACATATCGTGACTTTTTTCCCCTTTGCTAACCCGGGCGTGGACATGGCCAGCATGTGACGCATCCGGCACGTGGCCCGGGAGTTTGACACCCCTGTTCTATGCAATACAGTAGCGTTAGTCCTTACACAATTAAATGATGAGGGAATTTAATGGCAGTTTCTTAGCCAAAACAAATATGATACAACTGAGGAAAGAATGAGTTTCACACTGCAATCCGTACACATATTTAACCAGCAAAAGGTTTAACTTATTTAACTTACTTCTTAATAGGTACACTAGGTCAATTAATATTTAACCTTTGGTTTCATAGGGTCCTCAGAGAAGATGTTTTTCTAAAGAACAAGAATTATCCAGCTACTGAACTTTAGATTCCAATTTTAATTTTAATCATAGAGTAATTTAGCTAATTTACAAATACTCATGATTTCAGCCAGGGTGAATAATGAGATAAGGAAAACTCACCTTTTATTCTTGGTCAAAATGCAACACTCAACAATCTCTCCAAACACTTCAAATTGCTTCTTCAGTTCACTAGAGCTCATACTGCTGGCAAGATTTTGGATGTATACTACACGGCCTTCTCCCTGTTTAATAGCAACAGCACTTAGACTTATATATTGCTTCATAGTGCTTTATACCCTTCTCTAACTGGTTTACAGAGTCAGGATATTGCCCCTAACAATCTGGGTCCTCATTTTACCAATCTCATAAGGATGGAAGGCTGAGTCAACCTTGAGCCAGTCAGGATCGAACTGCTGGCAGTCAGCAGAATTAGTCTGCAATACTGCATTCTAACCACTGTGCTACCACGGCTTTCCATGGCTCTTAATGACACGAGTAAATTGCTCATGCCTGTCCTGGTACAATGTTTTAAACTGATACATTCTTGATATCTCCAGGTCCACTTTACTATTAAAGTAGTACCTTTTTATATTTTAGACAAATGAGCTCTAAATATGCTAAATGAATCTATGTCTGGCTGATATAAAAGATATACAGAATATCAAACCACCAGCCTCAAGTGCTACTTTTTTTCTACTTCAACAACTGTAGCTCTCCTCTTATTTGTATGATTTTTAAACACGATACCATGTCTTTTTCAAAACTCCAAACACTATTACTCTGTGGAAGTGCATTCTGATGAATGATCATTCTCCCTATGCCAAGGCTATCTAAAAGAAACATATTGGAAGGGAATAAAATGAAGAAACTGGCAACAGATTGAGTTCTTGGCAGAGGGAGAACTATCATTCATCAGCATGCACTTCCACTTCCACAGAGTAATAGAGTTTGGAAAACAGCTAACTTCCTGTATTACCCCTTCTTGAATAGAAATTCCTGCCTCCCAAAATTCAAATGTGTTTCAGAAGAATCATCTGATCAGATTGGAAACCCCACCACTTCCACTTCATTCATCCCAAATCTCATTGAGAGCTCACAGGTCACTCACAATGGCTTTTTCTCTCTTTTTCTCCATCAGCCTCTGGCTGGTCATGTTTCCCTCTTGACAACGCTTGCCATTTTCACGTCTATTGGAAAACAACAAATACAGACCCAAATGGATTCCAATTGTTTTGAATCTTAGACATCAGAATCTTAATTAGGAAAATATTCCTAGAAACATACCCCTTGCTTGCAGGAACAGTCTCACCCATTTCACAATCAATACAGAACACCATGGGCTATTGTAGATTCACAAATATTTAGACGTTGTTTTTTTAAAGGTGGCTAGAGAACCACCAAATATTGGAGCAAAGAGGTAAGCAAATGTAAATGATTCAATATTATATAATTTGAAAACCTGAAGATATAATCTTTTTAGGCACAGTCATGCTGTGGTTTTGGCCTTAAACCTTTTCACAAATAATCTTACATTTATTTCTATCCGTCTGAACAGGGTATCTCTTTTTTCCTATTGGTTCTCAAAAACCTTTTATGCATGGAGGGTCTCATTCCAATTCAGGAATGCTATCTATCCGGTAGAGGTTGGTATTCCTGAATCAGGGAACGAAGGGAAATTTCCCCAATTTCCCTTGAGCTGCCATGGCTATTTTTGGTGCAGTTCTAATAGGTCCGTCAATCCTCAGGAGTAGATTCTCAAGGTCTGAAGGAAGAATTAATTCAATAACTTCTATACTTTGCTCACAGGATTTTTTAATTCAGCCCACTGTCTTTTAAATTAGCCTTATAAGACGTATCCCCCACTGCAATGGCAAATCAAGAATAAGGAAAAAAGATATAACTGCCTGAGAAATTTCTAGAAATGTAGTCTTATACTCCCCCAGGCTGACTGAAAGGCCACCATTCTTACAGCACTGCATTATTTTAAAATGTAACTAAAGTGTGTGAGGTTTTAATGTGCAATACTCTGAATCAAGGCAATCAACAACGCAAACCAATGCAATTGACTATGACCATCTCAGACCCTTTCCCCAAAACAATACTGATTGCAAATGAAATGTACCTGAAAACCTGCTGGTTGACTGGAGACCTACTTCTGCAGCATGAAGACTCTGAATCAGATCTGTTTCGGGAGCAATAGTGCAAATTGGTCCTAGAAAGAGCACTACTGTGTAGACATCTGTTGGAACCCAATGGACTCATGTAGTATTCCTCCTCCTCTTCCTCCTCTTCTTCCTCTTCCAATGGAGAACCAATCTCACTGCAGCTGTCTTCAAAGACAGTATCATATTCAGGAGTTTTGAAGAACAAGGCCTCCTCCCCATCATCCAGGGCACTGTCCAAAAGACCAAAGTGTTTGGTCAAACTGGCTCTGATTTCTTGGTCCCTCAGCTGTTTGCTGCCCTCCTTCACTGAGATTTTATCAAAACTCTTGTTGCTTTCTTCCTGATAGAGAACGTCAGGCACTTGCCTCTTGTGTTGGGTTTCTATATGGCTCAGGGGCTCCCAAGATCTTAGCACCTTCCTCTGGAACGAATACTCAGGTTTCAAGACTTGGCAATAATCATGATCACCAAAAGACCGCGAAAAAGGGCGTTTCAACACCCCATGTTGCTCAGAGTGAGCAGGGCGAATAGCAGACCGACTCAGGTGGGCATACAGCTCTGTCCGCACTGGTTGCTTTTTCTGATGTTTTCTGGAAATTGGCCTATGACTGATCATTGGTTGTGGCTCAGAGCTGGTGATGACAGCAGTCTTCTGTGCTGGTCTTTGGTGAATATCTGGCTTATATAGGTCTTCTTCCGAAGGCTTGTATGGAGGAGTAGTTGGTGGTGTGAGACCTTATCTCCCACAAGGAAGCAAAAGGATAAAACTCTTTCAGTATAGGACCATGAGAGTAAAAAGACATCACTATAACAGGAGTTAGATCTATTTTTTAAACCATTCCCACCCCTTCGTTGAGACTTCAAATCACAGAGTTGATCTGAGGATATGCACTGCTGTTTATATTCAGTCTTTTGCCTTTATAAGATGGCTACAGCGGTTCCAAAATACTTGTCACTCAAACGATGCGTTGCTCTGCAGTTGTCTTTTCAAGGAAGGGAAAAATCAAACAGGGTTTAGGGGTGCCTAGATCCCTCTTCCTTCATGTTAATGATTAAATACAGGAATTACTATCTGATAATTTGGTTTTGGGTACAGTCTTTTCTCTATGTTTGCATCTTTTAAAATAATGAACACTTAATCTAAATTCTGCCCTTACCTGCAGTGCCACACAGCTCTACAGTCAGAACTTGATCAAAGCTGCGCTTCCCGAGTGTTGATTCTCTAAAAACGAGAAGAGTAGAATGAAATGGTTATAGAAAAGCCAAGGCATCCATTAAAAACGAGGAATTCACACAATGAAATAGAAAGGAGCTTTAAAAATAAAATGTCACATGGGGAGGATACCTCATAGCTGTCATTTAAATGGCAAACATTTTAATAAGTTTAGATAAATGGGCACCCATTTTGTAGTAGCTAATGAACTGGGGTCATCTCCAAATAACTATGTAGGGAAATTGACAAGCTTGAAACTTAAATAACCAAAAGGTCTCAAATAATCAACATAAACTAATAAAACCCAATCTGAAAATTTATACATTGTCTGTTCAGGTCCCCTTTAGATTTTTATACATGGAAGCCCACACTTCTATTACAAAGATTCACAAGTAAACAAACTTTGAAAGTCAGGGGCACATTTGAAATTTTGTGAGCATGTGGCTGGTATAGTCACAAAATGGTTGCCAGGAGAGACTTATTTATTCACAAATGACAAACAACAAAAAACGCCCATTTATCTGCAAGCAAACAAACTCCAAAGGCATTCTTCAAAGAAATATTTGTACCATAGCAGATCCTATTACTAACATAGCACATTTTTTTTCATCTAATGTAATCCTCATGAAGAACTAGAAGAAAGCAAGTTATACTGTACTTTCAGGTTCATTCTAGTTAACATCTAGTCTCCACAATAAAGCCTTTTGACACATCAATAGACAAGTTTCTGAAAGCAGAAAAAGTGAGATTTTCTGCATCAAGAAAACTGCCTCACTATGAAGCGATCCTATATAATTTAAATTCTTCAATGTTTGGTCTTCATCCATCCAAACATCTCATTCTTCCTTAGCTTTGGTTATTGAAATATACAGAAATACAGTTTTATATAAATATTAACATGTCACTGTCAGGTTAATGTCTATCCGTCCATTCATTTACTCTCCTTAAAATCTCCCTAACATAGGAACCGTCTAGCAATGATGGAACCTTATTATAATATGCAACCTGTAATGAACATCCCAAGTTTGATGTGGTTTTAATCATAAAGAGTCAGTGATGCATATGTATATATCAGTAGTTCCAGTATCCTTAATGGGGCTTTATGCTCTAGACGAGCTGTTTTGAGTCTTTCTTGGGTGAGTTGCCCATCCCTTTCTATAAAATCTTTAGCTGCACTATGAAGTTCTTACCCAGTAGTGGATTATTTTGACATTAAGCTCCTGCACCAGAAGTCCTCTTAGTACACAAGCAGCTTAATTTAAGGATAGTTATCAACCAGACAGTATTGAAGGCACAGCTTGGTTATCAGGATTGCAAAATTCTGAGACTGCCATTTGCCAGATTTTCTGGCTTCTGACACTTAGAGAGATCATCCTTTCACAAGATATATTTTGGGTATTGCACTTACGTTTGTGCCAAGGGCAATGACAGACATCGTGGTGTTTCTGAAACAAAGAACAGAGAAAAGCAGAATGATTCAATTGGCCATATCTCTGCCCATAAACTGGATTAGTAAAAGAGAAAGCAGATTATGATCAAATGAAGTGAGCCATGGAAGATACATGGTTTATCTTCTATTTTGTAAATTTGAAACCAGACCAGAGTAGATGAATTGTATTGGAGATGAAGGAGAGGAGATTAATTCTTCTTTCATGTAGTTTTTCATATTGAAATGATCCACCACACCACACTGAATTTTATTGTCTGGTTGCCACTCTATGATTAATAGAGAGGAGAGGAGCTTTGGGAAACATCATATGGAAAAGAATAAATCATCTCTCTCGATGCTGAAATAGTAATCTGATTCAGTTTTTCCCGTGTCTGTCCCTAATTTAGCAACAGACATAGGAGGAATTATTTTCCTACCCTATATGACTGAGTCCTGAGTGGATGGATTATGACACAATTGGAACACAACAGTTCAGAAGCTTCTTGTTTCTCCCTCAATGTGTGACTCACATCAAGCATACTGCGCTTCTATAATCTATTTCTTGTCAGACCTGGGTCAATTCAATTAAAACCAAACTTTTTTCTTTGCTGCCACTTTTTCAATATACAATTTTATAGGAAATGATCTATGTATCTAGTTTGGGGAAAGAATTTTCTCTTCAACAATATTTAAGATATTCAGACAAATTAGGAAGATATGGGACCATATCACACCAGGCACAATCCTTGAAGAATATTAGGACTGGTAATCTGCTTTCTATTATCCCGATAAAGCATATTTTATCTTTCAGAAATGTGGAAATGCCGGTACAGGAGAATTACTGGGCTCTCCTTTCCTACATACCTGTTTGATGGCAGGAGGTGAAGCACTGACTCTCATTTGCTGTATAAGTGTCGCTTTCCCTAGAACTTTCTGGTGAAGGGGTCTGCAATTCCATTGGGAAATTCTGGAATCCCCCGTCCATCTCATCAGCGCCACTCACTTCTACTTCCGCTGCTGGTGCTTCTGTATCAAAGTTTTGCAAAGATGAGCAGAGGGCAGGCTCTATTGAAGCGAATGCGTTTGCTGTGGTTGCTGAGGACACGGTAGGTTCTGAGGGAGGTTTATCAAGGAAAGACTGCCAAAGGCTGAGCTCAGGGTTGAGTCTTTTAGAGCGACGCACTGCATAAATTGAGGTGTCTGGCTTACGGCTTGACTTCCCGTAGGATCCCTGACCCATGGGAGTCCCTTGTTTTGCACCATCCTCTTCTGCAGTTTCTTTTTCAGCCTCAGGCTCTACTTTGAGAATCTGTCTCAGCTCAGTTTTCATTTCAGGTATTATTTTGGTGGAGGGCTTATTATATCCATCCATAAATTCCCTCCCGGTATTGGGAGGCGAAGTTCTTGAAGACTTGTGAAGCTGTGACCTGGCCAAGGAGGCATAGACAGGTTTTGCTAATCGATATGGCTTACTCACATCACATGGGAGTTCTCTGGCAAGCAGTTCTTTCAGGATAGAAAATTCAGAAAGCGGAGTTCGGGATTGTTTGCAGTGCATGGAGAAATGCCAAGGGCTGGATGGGCAATTGTCATTCCCACAGAGTCGAGGCTGCTGCAGGGGAGGATCTGGCTTTGCTCTTTTGGAGGGGCTGTGAAAAGGCTGGTGTTTCCCCTCACCGGGGTACATGGGGGGCAGCTTTCTTGGAGGAAGGCAATAAGTATGCATGTAGTGGATAAGCTCCACTGCAGCGTGAAGTTCCTTGTCTCCTGTGCCTTTCTCGGAGGAAGAGAGAGGAGGCGCTACACTGTTACCGCAATTCGATGCATCTTTATTTAAATTGCTATCTTCTTCATTTTGGATGTAATGTCTCTGGGGTAGAGAGCAGGTGTTAATGTTGTCAGCATGACACTTGTCTAGTGGCCCACTGTTTTTTCTGTGTGGGCAGTGTCTAGTGGTGGTGGTCGTAGTAAGATGTTTATGAAGCTCAGTGCAGTTCCGACTCTGAGCCTGGGGAAAAGTTGACTTTCTATCGTGGACACCTTCCACCTTCAAAAGCAAAGAAAAAAGGAAGTTAAGCTACATCCAAAAGCCATCCAAAATTTATCCATTTCTTTGTTCTAGGTGGCTAAGTATATTACAGCAGAGATCATTCAAATCTTTACATATTTCACATCACTAAAATGACTGTTTCAAGACTTAATTATACTATACTTAATTAAAATACTTAATTTAACTATACTTAATTGCTGACAAATTAGTAAAATAACATTGTATGGGTTTTTTTCCCCCAACCATCCATATCAAATGCCATAGATTCATATTAGGTAATAAAACAATGGAAGAATCATTCTCAGTGCCATTTCTCTATGTCTTAAATGACAGAAAGTTCTGGCTTTAATTAAAAAACAAGTAATTTAACAGACAGAATCATTATGCTCTATTCTATTTCCAGAGAATTTGCGGAATCTGATTTTCTGGTGGCTGCTTATTATTTCTCTAAATTTGGCTTCTATTCCCACTGAGATGTCTATGTTTTATATAATATTGTGCAAATTATTGTACAAATGACTTTTGTTTATGCTTGAAATAACAATAACCAATTCTCACCACCATGGTCAAGGAGGTCTTCATAACAAAAGAGGAATATTGATTTCTGATCCATAAAACAAGTGTCAAAGAGAATGAAATTGCAGCTTTCACAAGCATTTAACACAACTAACAAGTATAAACTTGTTACAGAGTTGTCCCTCTAGTTCCCTCTTTACTTTTGGTTGACTAAATTGTTAGCTAGGATGATCGGGAATCTGTTTAATTTTCCACTTGGTGCAGAGTTTGTCTCCCAGTTCATTTCAGGGTGGTTAAGCCCCCCCACCCCCACCCTTACTACTTTGGTGTGTTTTCTACATACATTTGTTAACTGACTATCAAAAAGTTCATGTATTTCTTCTGCTTGATTGTATGGCCTGTAGTATAGACCTATGGCAACATCTTTCTTTTTTTCTTTATATATTAACCCATATGCATTCTAGGAGGTTTCATCCTTGGTTTTATGCATTTCTGTAGAAATGTACAGATCTCTCATAAATAATGCAACTCCACCTCCTCTTTTGTTAGGTCTGTTTCTTTTGAGCAGTTTATATTCTTCCATCATCACATTCCAGTCTTGAATTTCATCCCACCAAGTTTCAGTAATGGCAACTATATCTGCCCTTGGGTACTAAGCACTTCAATTTCACCCTATATACCTGTATTAGCTATATAACCTATATCAAACCTATATAACCATCATATTAGAACCAACAAATGTAATTCATAGCTCCAGCAAGTTAATCATATAAGCTATTTTTGCCTAAAGACTCTATAAGTGCAGTGAAAAATTGTCTTGTTTCTTAACCGCAATTAATTGTGTAAGAGTTGTATTTTATTGTGCATGTTGTTTTATTCAAAGATGCCTGTAACAACCATTGCTCTAATCAACTAAATGTGTTTGGCTTGGCTGGAATTTTCAAATTATTTCTGCAGAAGCTTTGGCATTCTATTCTGTTTGAGGTCATTTATTAAGCACCAGATATATAGAGAGATTTGATTTCACATCCATAAATATAGGCTTAAAGGACTAATATAGAAAGAATTGCTTTTGCACCTATATAATGTTTCTTTTGTTACTGGGGATAACAGTCTTCCCCTCTTTGCACATTTGTGCATTATAGTATTTTGAACTTGTTAGTTATATTTGAAAAGTATAGTTTTTATAAGCATTTATGCACAGTATGGGATGGACTTTCATTCTGATCCCTAAGGTGATTTTTTTTTTTTTTTTACACCCTGAATCAGAGAAGAGATTAGGTCATTATCCACCCTTCGCTGCAGGAATCTGTTATCTTTCATCACAGGCTTAGTGCCATAGCATTTTACATCGCAGGTTGGCTCCTTTTCATTCTCTTCTTTGCCTTTTGAGACTAGGCACAGAGTGACAAGCCATGGGAGTACTTTCCCTTTCACCATTTTCATTGCTTAAGTTCCAATCCTGCAATTTGGATGGCATAAGTGGCTGCATAAAATGGAGGGGAGTGGAATCACAGTTGCAATGTGGGAAGACTCTTGCTGAAGGGGGAAAAGTTCCTTTACTTTCATTTCTAGGAAATTAAAGCAGTGAAAGATATGTGCATAAATATACTGCCTGAAAGATGGATCAGCGGGGATGCGATAGCATTGCTAGGGGACGTTGGGCTTCTCTGGGACTAGGGTTAAAAACAAAAGGCAACGTGCCTAGCATCCTTTGTATTTAACAGCACACACACACATACACACACACATGTGCACAGGTGCATATAAGTAAGTATCTCAAGTTGCCCAGAAATGATGGCAATGGCAAGAAACAAATTATTTAGCTGTGATGCATAATTCAGTAGGTTGCAGCTCAGCTACATATATACATACCAATTTCAGCAGCTACAAAGATATAAGCTAGAGGGAGAATCATATTAACCCAGCAAGTAACCCCTGTGCTGTGAGTGCTAATTTCGAGTTTGTGAAATTCCATATACTTTTGGTCCTTCTAGCCACTCTTTTGAGTTCATTTTAATTGAAACAATCAATAAAAATGAAAATGACTTAAAATAATATCAAGAAAAAGACAGAAATATATGTAATCTTAAAGAGAAATACACTTAAACATCCACATTCAATATTTTCCCTCATAAAAGGAGTATTTGTATAGATCAGTGATGGCTAACCTTTTTGCCATCGCGTGCCAAAAGAGGGGGGAATGCGGGGGAGGTCACACACATGTGTGCCCACATCCATAATTTTATGTGCCCCCCCCCACATGTTCCCCCTGCTTTTCGCACGCGATGGCCCGGCGGACCTGGTAGGCCCATTTTTCGCTCTCCCCAGGCTCCAGAGCCTTTCTAGGAGCCTGGGGAGGGCAAAAACGGCCTTCCCCACCCCTTCAGAGGCCCTCCGGAGGCCAAAAACAGTGTGTTTCCTGACTTCTGGTGGGCCCGGAAGGCTTGAAAATCAACTGGCCAGTGCACACATGCGTGCCGGAGCTGAGCTCGTGTGCCCACCAATATGGCTCCATGTGCCACCTGTGGCACCCGTGCCATAGGTTCGCCATCACGGGTATAGATGAATGTAATCTATACAAAAAACATCTTAATATACCTAAGACCTTGAGACTGGATTAGAGTGGGAGGATCCTTAATTATAGGATTCTTCCAAGCTCTTTTTCTATACTAATACGTCAGCCAATTTTCTATACTTTAACAAAACAATAAGAAAACAAAAAGAAACATTAGCTTCTTTGGAAATATGGACAAACCAGGATTAATGCTTTAATGCTTTTCTAGATTTCCTCAAAGACCTTTGATAATCTATGACAATACAGGATAGATAGAAATTTACTTTGAACAAGCCTTTATCTTTGTTTCTTATCTATCTATCTACCTGCCTATATCAGGAAACAGGAAAACCTGAAAGATATAAACTGTGGAGATACATTAAACTTATTCAGAAATCAAGAGAAGAGCCCAGAAGATTCTCAAAAGAACTAGCAGGAAAAGCAAGAGGAAAAAGTTTGTTTTAAAAAAGCTTTTTTTAAAAAGATTTCAGACACATGGTATGGTATAGATTGCAGAGATTCTTCAGTCAATTTTATGTCCATGTGACATATATAACAAACATGACATTAAGCACAGAAGGCTTAATATCTATCCCCACCCCAGGCTTCATTACACTCTGTCTTCCCATGTTCCTTATCTTTCCCTATGCAATCCAAATTCATTTATTTAATACACTGCACAATTTCCTTTATTCAAGTGAAAAACCTTTAAAGGCCTCTTGTGTGATTTTAAACAATTGGCTTTAACAACTAGATGGTTCTATCACTTTGTACATTGTGTTCATAATAAATGACATATCCGTTATATGCAGAAGGATCTAAATTCTGACTTTTTGGCACGGCTCATCCAAAGTCTGCCTTTCTAATGCCTTAATTTTCAGATAGATCAAACAGAAAGAGTAGTACTATCTTGCAGAACAACATTCCCAACACCACTGTTAAAGATTTTGAGAGAAATAACCAAATGGTTGCTGTCATGGCTTGCCTATGAGAAGAAACGTAGAGGAAGGAGGACTATAAATACAGAGAGAACAACTACCCAACCTTCATAGGAGCTCTCAGTGGCAGAAATTATTTGGTCTATTTTCACTGGAAGGTAAAGATGAAAAACTGACCACATCACCTGGAAAGTGACTCTGGAGAGTCACTGCCAATAAGCGCAACTCATGTGAGCTAACGATCTGAACATACGACAACTGTGTAATATTCCTGGCAAAAATTTCATCTCACATAAACATAGTCCACTGTTATGTAAAGCTATAGCTGCCAAGAAGAACAGTACCTTTGCACATGATCGCTGAGGTCTGGATTTAGGAGGTCCTTGACGCCATATATTCCCCTCTCTTTGAACCTCATAGCTTGGAGGCACATTGGATGGTGAGAGAAGCAACTTCTTTAGCTAGAAAGGGAAATGGTGAAAGAAAGAGTCGAAATTCCTACATATAAATTGAACAGTAGTCACTTCTTTTTAAGTTCTCTAAATTACCACATTCAAACACAATCATAGGATAAGTGAGGTAGAGATCCAAACTAAAAGCCACAGTGTTCATTAAGTATTTTATTTTAACAGCCTATCTCTCCCCCGAATATTATTTCATACAATAAACCCCCCTTTCTTCATATATTAGGAAGAATATAAAAATTCTTTCATCAAAATATGAATATCAAATATCAAAAAGGAGCCTTGGTAGTACAGTGGTTTAAAGCACCCTGTTATTAAGACCAGCTGCCTGCAATTACTGCAGGTTCGAATCTCGCCAGGCTCAAGGTTGACTCAGCCTTCCATCCTTTCTAAGGTAGGTTAAATGAGGACCCAGTTTGTGGGGGCAATAATCTGACTTTGTATAAATATACAAAAGGATGAAGGCTATTGCTTAACGCCTTGTAAGCCGCCCTGAGTCTCCGGAGAATGGCGGCATATAAATCAAATTAAAAAAAAAAATCATACTCATGGCTGTCAGGGAAGGATAAGAGGACAGAAGAAGCATGGTAGCCGAGTTGCTAGGTTTAGGAGACAGCTTTCATTAGCAAAGAGCATCTTATTTCTTCCATATAAAAAGAAAATTCTCAAAGATTTGGAATGGTTCCATGGATATTCCCCATTGTAGAAAGTGACAGAGAATGAAGAAGTCCTCTTCCTCCGAACATGAGTAGAATTTTATCATTTTCTTTAACACCCCCAAGAAAGATAAAGAATCATATGAATCAAGCTCATGAGGAAGATCACAGGAGGACTGAAGATCAGCAATAACTTGGCAAAGCCAAGCTTTAAAAAAAAAAATACTGAATTTATTGCTGCAGTTATTCTGACTTGCCATCCCATGAAAATAATAAAGAAATAGTAACTCTGATACATTACGGTATCCCAAATTCTTAGGAAGAACTTGGTACATATGGAGGTTGACACCAGTTAAAGCAGGGGTCTCCTACCTTGGCCACTTTAAGCAGTGGCGGGATTCAAATAATTTAACAACTGGTTCTCTGCCCTAATAACCAGATGGGTAGGCGTGGCTCGGTGGTCATGTGACCGTTTGAGTGTGGCCAACTCAACGCCACTCACGTCGATGGGCGCTTTGCCTTAGCTGTTACAATGTAATAAGGGTTAACCAGAGAGGCAGTTTCTGTAAGCAGGGGAATAAAGATTAGGCTAGAAACAACACCAGGATATTTCCTTCCTGCCTTCTTTACAGGATTAGCCTTGTAAAGTGGAAAAAAACAAAATAAGATTTCTTCCAACAACCGGTTCTCCAAACTGCTTAGAAAGTTAACAACTGGTTCTCCCGAATAGGTGTGAACTGGCTGAATCCCACCACTGACTTTAAGCCTGGCAGACTTCAACTCCCAGCAAAGCTGGCTGGGGAATTTTGGGAGTTGAAGTCCACCAGGCTTAAAGTGGCCAAGGTTAGAGACCCCTGAGCTAAAGAACTGGCAACAGTGATTTCACATTTTTGTGTATATACCGTAGTAATAATTTAAAAGCACAGCAAGCTTTCATTGATGGGTGGAAGAAATGAAATTTATTTCACATGATTGGATAAAGGTAGGAATTATATATTATCTCAATAAGCCCTGAAAAAAATGTTGACAATATAAACATCCTGCAACTTTTTGGAAATAGCTTAACTGCCAAAATTGAAAATTACTCCTTATAATGGGGTGGGAAACTGTGGCCCTTTTATGACTTGTGGACTTCAACTCCCAGAATTCAGGAATTCTGGGAGTTGAAGTTACAAGTCATAAAAGGGCCACAGTTCCCCACCTCTGCCTTACAAGAAAGGCAGATTCTCCTAGTACTTTTAAATTTTAAATTAGAAGTCATGATTTCAAAACACTCTGCAAGTCCTTTCCAAAAAAGCTTCCTAATTTTTTTGGAAATTCTTTCCAAAAGAACAACATAGGATGGGTATGCTTTGGGCTAACCATAGTGGTTAGGGTAGAATTATATTTCAACATTGACCTCATGGTATCTTAAAATACTAGCTAAGTTAAGCTAAATACAAGTATGTAGCATATTATTTTCTTCAACCTAGAAATTGGGGTTGGAGAATGAATATTTTCCAGTGTGAAAATTTCAAATTTCTCCTTTTTTAAGTTTTAAGCAGAGACAGAAAACACACGTTCAATAGCAGTTTGTGAAAAGATGTTGTTCCCACATTCAGAGAAACCAAGTTTAAAAAGGCTGGCAGTATTTAATCGGTTTCTGAAAATTTGGAATATTCTCCTTCCCTTTTATCCTAATTTGTGATTTATTTTCAGATACTAATTTTAGTATGCATGCAGGAAGTAGGCATAAGCTCCTGCCAAAGAAATCAATTGGATATAACATTCTAACAAGGGTTTCAATTAATTAATTCAACAGCTCATGAAGCAATCTGAAGAAACATTTTCTCTCTTAGTTTGAGGTGAGTTTAAGGATATCTGTAAAACAGATATTATATTCCATTAAAAAAAAACACCAAATCTGAGTAAAATATTATTTTTAAATAACTGATTACATGTCCAGAATATCTCTGTTTAAAAAAAAGAAAAGAAATTCACATTGCCCATTCTCTCACTGAAGGCAAAATGGGAACCTTAACCAACTATTGACTCTGGTGGGAATATAGTAGCAAATTAAGGATTGCCCAGAAACTAAAAACTCTCCTTAACAATTAAGCAAATGACAAATATTCAATTGGTTCCCATAACCAAAATTTTAAACTTTAATACAATATAGTGCAATACTAATTTGATCCTCTAGTTGTAAACTTTCTACAATGACAAAACATTAAAAAGTTATTTCCTCAATTCTGCAACGTATACATCATATATATAAAGATTTGTGCAATATATATATTATATGTGTGGGTGTGGGTGTGTATGATATGTAGAGACATACACAGGCAGTTTTGTGACATGGAAATGTGTACTTCTTACCACTAGATGCCACTATAACACTTTTAGAAATCATGAAATTCATTAATGGTAGATAACAGGGAAGTGGGATGGATGGATGAGAGGCTAGAATCTACAAAGCTATGTTCCTGGTATCCTGTGCAAGGTTCTGCTTGAAATAAAGAATGCTCCTCTCCTATGAAAGCATATTTTGGGAAAGGACATTATGGAGCATTGAAGTTTCGGAGTTCCATAATGATCTTTCCTTGTTAAGTGAAACCTGGATTACAAGCAGAAGTATTTTCTATTATCAGCGAGGCTGTCATCCATAATATTCTTTTCTTTGCTCTCACCTGCTGGTTGGCTAAATAATACCATGTACTGAGAAATAGAAACCAACTGCAGATTATTCTGATACCTCAAAGGAGGACTAGGGTGCGTGCCTTAATTAAGAACTCAAAATTTCCCACAAATGTCAGTTTTCCTTGGAAAAACAAGTTCCTTTATAAGAAGCAAGTTTCAAGACCCTTGGAAATTATATAGGCACTATGTGAGCTAAAGAGTTAAACTCAATTTCAGATGACTACATGGACATAACCATGCAACAGCAGTATAATATCTTGTATTTCCCAGTGATATCTGATGGTCTCTCATCCAAGTACTAATTAGTTCAATTTTTATCTCACTTGGTTTCCAAGACCAGCTAAGATTGGCCAGAAGCAATTATCAGCCGAGACTATGAAATCTCAGAACAATTTATTAAATTACTGTACTAGAACTGGTGGCTTTAGAGAAAATGCTGCATAGCAGCTTGCCCTATATCATGACTACTCACGCAAAGAAAATGTCACAATTTACAAAATCATGTACATCTTTTTAACAGACATGAAAGTGTAACGTAAGGAAAAATGTAAGAGATGAGACAAAATGTTGAACAGTGAGCATCCCTAATATAGATAGTATTTGAAATGAATATAGGTTGCCCTTGACTTACAATCACAATTGGGACCGGATTTCCAGTTGTAAGTTAAGGTATTCATGTGACAAGACACAATTTTACAACATTTTCTGTGGTGGTCATTAAGCAGATCATTGCGGTCATTAAGTAAAACAACAGTCATTAAGCGAATGCCATGGCTGTAAGTGCAACCCCATTTTTCTGAAAGGGCTTGCCAGAAACCAGCAAAAAAAATGCCAGAAAACCAGCAGAAAACATTGCAAATTGCAGTCTCGTGATCAGGGGTACAGTGCAAACGGTTGTAAGGGCAAGCCAGTTGTCAAGCAGCCAAAATGGGGGTCATGTGATATGAAGAATGGGGTGTGTGGCACATTTATGAAGGCCAGAAGTGCTTTGTGGGGTGTAAAAGCACTCGTTCTGCACCAGTGGTAATTTCAAATGGTTAAGCAACCAGTCATTAAATGGAAGACCAGATGTACGGTGATGTGCTTATGCGCTTTCATGTGCTAGCCTGTTCTATGCCCTTCCTTTTTCTATCATAATCATATTCTTCCCGATGAAAATTACTATGGAGCAGATCAAATGAGAGCAACAATGTGGCACATGTATACGTATACAATAATAGATATAATGCTTTTGTACTGTTATAACTGTAAGCCTATAATGAAAAAATTCAGACCTTTGCTTCCTATCATACCCATGCAGCCGGATTATCAGAGGCGCATCCAAATCCACCTTAAACAGTAGGAAGTGGTTCTTACTAGAGACAGCTCATCAACCTCTTGGGCCACAGGAGGCCCCCTCGTGACTGGTGCAGCAGGATTGGGAGAGGGGATGGGTGAGGTGTAGCCGCTGTTGGGCATGTCCCCCTCGTCCATATTTTTGAAGGCAGCCAGACCCATGTCTTCTTCCTGAATGTCATCCAGTGTCTCAGTGAGAGCTGCCAGCAAAGCTTCATTCTCACTGTCGATAATCTGCTGGGAGGAGTCAGAAGGACATGAGAGAAAAAGAGAAATTAAGAAGAGATGCTTCCCAAACACAGAGTTTCTGACAAGATACAAACTCACTTGTAATTATATTCTAGTTATTTACACAGCAGAGTAGCCAGATGACTTTATATTATTATAAAAGCAGACAGAGAAACTGGTAATACCATGGCATATTTATATTCAATACATGCCTAACATTAAACATACATTAACAGAAAGTTTGATCATACGGCTCTAAAGTTTTCTTTGGCCCTTTGTCCAATAAACAAACAAACAAATGAACGAACAAATAAAATGATTCAAATGCTGACAAACATCGCATATCAACAACCATTACTGTAATTCAGGAGATTTCTATTCACAGAGTTGTATAGTCATTCTTTTAGCCAAACCCTTCCTTGCCCCAATCACAATTCTTGATATTTTAATAGATACAAAATACTGGGGATAGAGCCAAGAAAAATATATACATCTTTGATATACAGTGATTGATCAGACACTGTATTTACAATTCTACTGACACTAGCCCAAAGTATAACAATAATAGGATAAGCCAAATCATAGATTTAATGTAATAACACCTGAGGAAACAGGGTTCCTAGTATTGTCAGGATTTGACAGAGTCAAAGTTTGAACTCAGTTTGAATTCAAAGAGGAGCTGTGTTGAAGTTTCTTATTCCAGATTCCTATGCTGAGGTAAACAAAGGACTCAGAAAATAAAATATATGACATATAGGAAACAAGTCTGATCTATTCCAGTTTATTAAATCCCAGATAAGATCCCAAATTCATGCATTAATGAGAGAACATTAGGAATAAAAATTTCTGGTCTATCTATAAATTAATTAATTAATTAATTAATTAATTAATTAATTAATTAATTAATTTATTTATTTATTTATTTATTTATTTATTAATTATCAAATTTCTATACTGTCCTACTCCCGAAGGACTCAGGGTGGTGAACAGCTAAGATAAAATACAGATAATACAAACATTAAAAATCCATTAAAATTATTAAATTTTTTGGCCAAAACAAATTTAAAACACCCAATTTATAAACAAATTAAACGATTTAAAAATTTAAAAGGGAGAGTTAGGCCAGGCCAGTCTGCTGAAATAAAAATGTTTTGAGAGCACGACGAAACGTGCGCAGATCCGGGATCCTCCGTATCTCCGGGGGGAGCTCGTTCCAGATGGTAGGTGCTCCCACAGAGAAGACTCTCCCCCTGGGGGCCGCCAGTCGACACTGTTTGGCCGACGGCACCCTGAGAAGCCCCTCTCTATGGGAGCGTACTGGTCGGTGAGAGGCTATTGGTAGCAGAAGGCGGTCTCGTAAGTACCCCGGTCCGATGCCATGGAGCGCTCTAAAGGTGGTAACCAAAACCTTGAAGTGCACCCGGAAGACCACCGGGAGCCAGTGCAGCTGTGCTCCCCAGTGCAGGAGGGGGGTCACATGGGAGCGCCATGCCGCTCCCATAACCATAAGCCGCATTCTGGACCAGCTGGAGCCTCCGGGTACTCCTCAAGGGGAGCCCCATGTAGAGAGCATTGCAGTAGTCCAGGCAGGAAGTAACGAGAGCATGAGTGACTGTATTTAACGAGTCCCGATCCAGAAAGGGACGCAACTGGCGAATCAGGCAGACCTGATAAAAAGCCCCCCTGGCCACGGCCGTCAAGTGCTCTTCCAAAGACAGCCGTGAGTCCAGGAGGACGCCCAAGTTGCGAGCCCTCTCCGTGGGGGCCAATGACTCACCGCCAATAGTCAGTGATAGCACCAACTGACTATATCGGGATGTCAGAAACCACAGCCACTCGGTCTTGAATGGGTTGAGCCTGAGTCTATTTCTCCCCATCTAGATCCACACAGCCTCCAGGCACTGGGACATCACTTCAAGGGCATCATTGGGGTGGTCTGGGGTGGAGATGTACAGCTGAGTGTCGTCAGCGTACTGATGGTACTTCACCCCGAAACCACGGATGATCTCACCCAGCGGCTTCACATAAATGTTGAACAGAAGGGGTGAGAGGACCGACCCTTGTGGCATCCCACATACAAGGGGCCTCGGGGTCGACCTCTGTCCCCGTCAACACGGACTGCGACCGGTCAGAGAGAAAGGAGGAGAACCACTGTAGGATGGTGCCCCCCACCCCTAACTCCTCTAGCCGGTGCAGCATGATACCATGGTTGATGGTATCAAAAGCCGCTGAGATTTAAATATTAAATATCCTTTTTGAAAATATTAAAAAACATATGATGTCCTAAGCAATTTAATGAGCATTAATTCTCATTGAATACAATGGACATTTTTCTAATTAAAAATTCTTAGAATTAGATTAATATCTCTTTGATATCAAATAAAACATTACCCCTCAATTAATTGATGGCATCTCATTCTGCTACTCTTTCTTCTCATTTATATTAAAGAAACTACAAATTGCAGTAGAGTAGAGTAGAGTAGAGTAGAGTAGAGTAGAGTAGAGTAGAGTAGAGTAGAGTAGAGTAGAGTAGGAATGGAATGGAATGGAATGGAATGGAATGGAATGGAATAGAATAGAATAGAATAGAATAGAATAAAATAGAATAGAATAGAATAGAATAGAATAGAATAGAATAGAATAGAAAGAATAGAATAGAATAGAATAGAATAGAATAATAGAATAGAATAGAATAGAATAGAATAGAATAGAATAGAATAGAATCTGGAAGGGATCTTGGAGATCTTGGAGAAATTTGATAAATAAATAAATAAATAAATAAATCTTCCAGTCTTCTAGCCTTTGTAACTAGATAGTACTGAAATGTAATATTTTTCACTTCTGGGAAAATCCATCATATAGCAATAAAATTGGAAGCTACTAAAGTACTCTTTTTAAACCAATGCACACAATCCAGTCAAAGTCAAGCACTTTTAATTCCAACCTTCAATGGGAAAATTAGGCAAGTTCAAATTCAACTGAAGTAATGAGACACATGGATGCAGCAGTATGCAGCAGCTTCCACCTATCTCCGACAGAAGTTACTTAGAATCCATGCAGGTCAAGAAAATAACTGGGAAACCTGCATTTCCGTCAAGATGAGCTCAGGATACTAGGGTTGCCATATCTGGGCTGTGAATATTTGAACAATCCATGGAAGATAACAAAGAATTAGAAATTTCTCCGCATCTTTGTTGCTGCATAGTGGCTATCCAAATATAATAGCTGTATAAGATATATCTGATTAGGAACTTGTAGATCTTACAAAAAGTGAATTTACCCAAAGCAATTAAAAATTCTGGAGCTTTATAATTATATTGTGGGATGTTATTAAACTGGAAGTTAGTAAGCAATACTGTATCTAACCCTATACGCCTTATGACATGATTCCCTTGTCATGTTGCAATACCTAGCTAGCATTTCATTGCTTAATGAAATGGTTCTCAATCTATGGTCTGCGGGCCCCAGGGCGGATCAGCGAAGGTTTGAAGAAATGTTATGATTTGAAGTATTGGGGATCCGTGGCCACGGTCTGGTATTTAAAAGGTATTTAAAGGGAGTCCATGGTGAAGAAAAGGTGGAGAACCAATGTCTTAACATACTTGCATGACTCTATGCTGCAATGAGGTACAGCCATCAAGGTGCTTTGTTATTTAAGGATATTTAAAGAAAACATCTAATTCAAGTACAATACACCCTATCCATGCATGTAATTCCTATTCTTATTCTTATACTACCTTTAAAGCTATAACTGTGCTCACATGACGCCCTGAGATATAAAGTAGCCAATTACATTTTAGCTTAGCCTGGGGTAAAAACTCCAGACTGTTTGATGTTTAAAATTCAGTGTGTTGTACAAACATGAAAATGGGTTGACAGAGTCAACTGTGATTAAATTCACTATGTGTGAGTCATGCTTAGATAGCAAGTTTAAAAACACAACAAATAACAATATTATACCAAATATAAGCAAATACTCAAATCAGATCCAGATCAGGGATCCCACCACGAGAAATGCAGTTGCTCTAGCCAACTTCTATACCCTATTCAGATTCTCTGCTGTTATCTCATTCATTATCAAATCAAACAAACTAATTAATAATTTTGGACAATGTAAATTGCAGAGCCCTTTTTCCTGCCTTCTCAGATGGAACTGCAGAAGAGGAAAGAATGAACAATTCTACACTAACCTTTGTTCTGGTCCTGATTTGGACATAGCTGATAATCACATGTTCAAGTTATATGTAGTTGACCCTCAGCCTACCAGGCTAGTAATGGAAAGAATGCTCTAGAGACATAACACATTAAGTGTTGAAACCTGAATGCTGGAAGCACTGATATCACACGCACTGACACACACACATCCACACACACGGGAAAAGTTTAGCTGTCTAAAACATTAGATACCCTAGCCTAATCCAGTTAAAGCTAATTCAAATACATGGCACAGTCTTGCCCACTGATGTTATTAATTCAAAATTTATATGCAAGGTAGATCCATTTACTTTATAACTTTCTTGCTGATAAGTACATTTATTTATTATACGCTGATACAGGATTGTTTTCAACAAACTATGCACTGCATATGTAGCATACTTTTTACAATTACACTGTAGATATTGTATAATCACTTGTGGGTCTTTCTCAAGCCCAAACATATGAACTGATTTTCAAATATTTAAAGATGTAATTTGTATTTAAAAAGTAAAAAGTCTTCAGTGACTCTAGGCATATCTTTGGGTTATCTGCAGCCTTTATTACTCCATAATAGCCATAATAGTGAAGTCATTAAACACCCAACACTCCCCCCTCCCAAGTCATGTTGCACATGACAGCACCAAGAAGAAAAGCACCAAGAATGCAGTATTCTTTGAGCAGATATTTTCCTTCTAATATTGGCAAAATACCTCTTTAGACAGGACATCAACAGGATATTTTTCATGGTAGTCTATGCATTCATTCTGTATGAAACACAAAGGCTTGCTCTGCTTATATTTTCCTGGGTGGAA